CTCACCCCCATCACCTCACCCCAACACCTCACCCCCAACACCTCACCCCCACACCTCACCCCCACACACACACCTCACCCCCCCCTCACCTCACCCCCAACACCTCACCCCCATCACCTCACCCCCATCACCTCACCCCCATCACCTCACCCCCATCACCTCACCCCCATCACCTCACCCCCATCACCTCACCCAACACCTCACCCCACACCTCACCCCCATCCCTCACCCCTAACACCTCACCCCCCCCCAACACCTCACCCCCATCACCCCCTCACCCTACCTCACCCCCAACACCTCACCCCCATCACCTCACCCCCATCACCTCACCCCCAACACCTCACCCCTACACCTCACCCCCATCACCTCACCCCCATCACCTCACCCCCATCACCTCACCCCCATCACCTCACCCATCACTCAACCCTCACCCCCCCCATCACCTCACCCCCATCACCTCACCCCCATCACCTCACCCCTATCACCTCACCCCCATCACCTCACCCCCATCACCTCACCCCCATCACCTCACCCCCATCCACCTCACCCCCATCACCCACCCCCAATCACCTCACCCCCATCACCTCACCCCCAACACCTCACCCCCACACCTCACCCCCAACAACCTCACCCCCTACACCTCACCCCCAACCCTCCCCCCCACACCCACCCCCATCACCTCACCCCCTTTCACCTCACCCCCCACACCCTCACCCCCCCATCACCTCACCCCCCATCACCTACACCCCCAACACCTCACCCCCATCACTCACCCCTATCACCTCACCCATAACACCTCACCCCATCACCTCACCCCTATCACCTCACCCCAACACCTCACCCCCATCACTCACCCCTATCACCTCACCCATAACACCTCACCCCTATCACCTCACCCATAACAAACTCACCCCTAACCCCCAACACCTCACCCCTAACACCTCACCCATAACACCTCACCTTGATTCTAAACGTGGAGGGGAGACCCGGAGGACCCGGAGAAAAAATCCACGCGACCACGGAGAGAGAGAGACGCGGACTCCAAATCTACAGCAGCAGCAGCAGGCGTCGTCAGTGTCGGGATCGAACCCACGACCCCCTGTACACCAGGCGAGGTAGTTAACATCTCTTAGCCACCGTGATGATGATGAGAGAGACACGCAGACTCCAAATCTACAGCAGCAGCAGCAGGCGACGTCAGTGTCGGGATCGAACCCACGACCCCCTGTACACCAGGCCAGGTAGTTAACATCTCTTAGCCACCGTGATGATGATGAGAGAGACACGCAGACTCCAAATATACAGCAGCAGCAGCAGGCGACGTCAGTGTCGGGATCGAACCCACGACCCCCTGCACACCAGGCGAGGTAGTTAACATCTCCTAGCCACGGGGGCGAGTTAGAGTTCTAAACACAAAAACCCGGACACTTTGGGCCGAGTCATCGTGACGACGCCACCACGGAACTCCAGAACTTCTCTGGGGGGTCCCTGTGGGGGTCCCTGGGGGGTCCCGAGGGGGTCCCGAGGGGAGCCAGTTCTTGAGTCACTGGGGGAGTCCCTCGTGATGATGGTGGTGGTCTTGTAGAGGGGAGTGGAGGTGCAGCGGTTAGCGCGTTGCACTACGAACCCAGCGACCCGAGTTCAATTGCCGCTCACGGCCAACACCGGTGACCATTATCTGAATCGGTCCTGGGCCTCCCCTAGGTCAACTCGGCCTCAAATAAGTACCTGGTGCGGTGTGTAGTAAACGTCGTCACTGGGGAGACAAAGGCGGCCGGGCGTGGTGCTGGCCACCCACCCCCTCCCCCTCGTGTGCCACGGTGCCGGTAGCCTTCACAGGCGCTGCTGCTGCTGCTGCTCGCGAACAGCACTTGCCCCTGCAGTCTGTCCCAGGCTGCAGGGGGCGCTGTTGACGTCCTGGTGGTCTTGTCGCGTGCAATGTGCCTGTTGTGGTTGGGGTGCCGTGGTGGCGAGACGCTATCTCCCGCGCCTGGTACGCAGGAGGTTGTGGGTTCGACCCTGACGCCTGCTGCTGCTGCTGTATGATTTGGAGTTTGCGTCTCTCTCTCTCCCCGTGGTCGCGTGGATTGTTTTTTTCCTCCGGCTCCTCCGGGTTTTCCCTCGACATTAGAGTCTGTGGCTGCTGCTGCTGCTGTCCATTGGCACGTGTTGAGCCTCTTCTCGTCGAGCTGTCACTTGTGATGGGCAGGTCGCTGCACAGCTCCGTTGTGACCTCACCTGGTATAAAATACAGAAATAGTTTGAGTTGAGGTCTCCGATTTCAAGCGCAGTGCTCAACCGCGCGTGGCTGGACCGGCGTGTCGCCAAAACCGCGGAATGAGGAAGCGGAAATAATAAAAAATGCAGAAGTTCAACGAAAGTTTCGATTTTGGAATCCGTGGCGTGCCGCGCGACGTCAATAACACGGTCGCGTAATGCTGCACCATCCACACACGCACACTATGGAAACAGGTGGCAATTAGTCCAGCCAAGGGCAGGAGGCAGTGTGGAACAGATGGAGATTGGTCCACGCACTTTTTTTTTTGGCTCTGCCAGGTTGGAGGGGTGGGGCACCTGGGGGGAGATTCACCCCCCGTCTGTGTGTGATCCACCAGCCCCTCGCTACTGGGTGTGCGTGGTCTCTGAGTGTGCGTGGTCTGGGTGTGCGTGTCTGGGTGTGCGTGGTCTCTGGGTGTGCGTGGTCTCTGAGTGTGCGTGGTCTCTGAGTGGCGTGGTCTCTGGGTGTGCGTGGTCTCTGAGTTGTGCGTGGTCTCTGGGTTTGCGTGGTCTCTGGTTGTGCGTGGTCTCTGAGGTGTGCGTGGTCTCTGGGTGTGCGTGGGTCCTCTGGGTGTGCGTGGTCTCTGGTGTGGTGTGCGTGGTCTCTGGGTGTGCGTGGTCTCTGGTGTGCGTGGTCTCTGAGTGTGCGTGGTCTCTCGAGTGTGCGTGGTCTCTGGTGTGCGTGTCTCTGGGTGCGTGGTCTCTGAGTGTGCGTGGTCTCTGGGTGTGCGTGGTCTCTGGGTGTGCGTGGTCTCTGGGTGTGCGTGGCCTCTGGGTGTGCGTGGTCTCTGGGTGTGCGTGGGTGTGCGTGGTCTCTGAGTGTGCGTGGTCCTCTGGGTGTGCGTGGTCTCTGGGTGTGCGTGGTCTCTGGGTGTGCGTGGTCTCTGGGTGTGCGTGGCCTCTGAGTGTGCGTGGCCTCTGGGTGTGCGTGGTCTCTGGGTGTGCGTGGTCTCTGGGTGTGCGTGGTCTCTGAGTGTGCGTGGTCTCTGGGTGTGCGTGGTCTCTGAGTGTGCGTGGTCTCTGGGTGTGCGTGGTCTCTGAGTGTGCGTGGTCTCTGGGTGTGCGTGGTCTCTGGGTGTGCGTGGTCTCTGGGTGTGCGTGGTCTCTGGGTGTGCGTGGGTGTGCGTGGGTGTGCGTGGTCTCTGGGTGTGCGTGGTCTCTGGGTGTGCGTGGTCGTGGTAGTGGACATTCCCGTGAGTGTCACGGTGATGAGGCTCACGCACCACTCACCGCCGCCGCCGCTGTTATTTCGCGGTGTGTATTTATAGCAGGACGCGTGAGTGAACGAAGTGAAACTAAAATACGGAACTGGTCTTGACTCTTGAGCAACACCTCTGAAGGCCGGCACGGCACGCGAGGCGGGTGGGTGGCCACCACCACGCCCGGCCACCTTTGTTCACCTCGTGGCGATGTTTACCACACACCCACTCACACAACTCACTCACCCACCGACTCACCCACCCACAAAACTCACCCACCTACTCAGCCACCAACTCACCCCACTCATCCACTCACTCACCCACTCACTCACCCACTTACCCACTCACTCACCCACCCACTCACCCACCGACTCACCCACTCAACTCACCCACCCACTCACACAACTCACCCACCCACTCACCCAATCACACAACTCACCCACACATTCACCCACCAACTCACCCACTCACCAACTAACCCACCCACACAACCCACCCACTCACCCAACCACCCACTCACCCAACCCACCCACCCACTCACCCACCCACTCACTCACCCACTCACCCACACAACCCACTCACTCACCCACCCACTCACTCATCCACTCACCCACCCACCCACCAATCCACGCTCTCCTTCATGGGAACCCCCCTACCCCCGCCCCCCGTCTCCGTATTTAGCTCCGGGAGAGGCTCACGGCCGCGTGCCGCGCGAGACGACCCACACACTCAGACGACCCACACACTCATACGAGCCACACACCGACCCACACACTCAGACGTCCCACACACTCAGACGACCCACACACCGACCCACACACTCAGACGAGCCACACACTCAGACGACCCACACACCGACCCACACACTCAGACGAGCCACACACTCAGACGAGCCACACACTCAGACGACCCACACACTCAGACGAGCCACACACTCAGACGACCCACACACTCAGACGAGCCACACACTCAGACGACCCACACACTCAGACGACCCACACACTCAGACGAGCCACACACTCAGACGACCCACACACTCAGACGACCCACACACTCAGACGACCCACACACTCAGACGAGCCACACACTCAGACGACCCACACACTCAGACGACCCACACACTCAGACGAGCCACACACTCAGACGACCCACACACTCAGACGACCCACACACTCAGACGAGCCACACACTCAGACGACCCACACACTCAGACGACCCACACACCGACCCACACACTCAGACGAGCCACACACCGACCCACACACTCAGACGAGCCACACACTCAGACGACCCACACACCGACCCCACACTCAGACGAGCCACACACCGACCCACCCACCGACCCACACACTCAGACGACCCACACACTCAGACGACCCACACACCGACCCACACACTCAGACGAGCCACACACCGACCCACACACCGACCCACACACTCAGACGAGCCACACACTCAGACGACCCACACACCGACCCACACACTCAGACGAGCCACACACCGACCCACACACCGACCCACACACTCAGACGACCCACACACTCAGACGACCCACACACCGACCCACACACTCAGACGAGCCACACACCGACCCACACACCGACCCACACACTCAGACGACCCACACACTCGCGACCGGCCCTCCGAGGGCAACAGGCGAGCAGCAGCAGCAGCGGGTCGCTTATCAGCTCCAGGTAATCACGTTGCAGAATCAATCTACAGCGAAGTCCTTACATATAGTTAGTGGCATACAGTATCATATTCTTGTTTCAATCGCTAAAGTCACGGAGATTGAAAACTAAACTCAAAATCGAAAGCAAAAAAGTCCCACGACGTTTCGATCGCAACACCTGAAGAAGACCGCTTGTGTTGCCATCGAAACGTCGTGGGACTTTTTTTTGCTTTTCATTTTTAATTTCTATTTACGTGACTTGACCGAAAGAACCAAGAATATGAATTCCTGCAGTCACGAAAGTTCTAAGTCTAAATATTGACAGTATCGTTACTGATGAGGCTCTATACTGCCTCGATTGTAGCAGGGGTCTATCTCCACGTCGTTGAAAGTCTAAAGAGTTGCACCAGCCGAGAGAGAGAGAGAGGGTGTATTTGGCCTACTCTTCCACTCTGGGCGTTAACTAATCAGCGGTGGGTGGGACGTCTCCGTCGCGGCGAGCGACGCTCACAACAACGAGCGGAGCGCCGGGGCCGGTAAAGTCGCAGCGAGTCGACGCAGCAGCAGCAGCAGTAGCAGCGGGGGGAGCGAATGCGGTGCCGTCTGTCGCTCATCTCGAGCCCTGCGTCTGTCCCGTGACCTTTACCCTCTGCCCCGTGATCTCTCCCCTGGGTCTGTCCCGTGACCTCTCCTCTGGGTCTGTCCCGTGACCTTTACCCTCTGTCCCGTGACCTCTCCTCTGTGTCTGTCCCGTGACCTCTCCCCTGGGTCTGTCCCGTGACCTCTCCCCTGGGTCTGTCCCGTGACCTCTCCCCTGCGTCTGTCCCGTGACCTCTTCTCTGGGTCTGTCCCGTGACCTTTACCCTCTGTGTGTCCCGTGACCTCTCCCCTGCATCCGTCCCGTGACCTCTCCCCTGCATCCGTCCCGTGACCTCTCCCCTGGGTCTGTCCCGTGACCTCTCCCCTGGGTCTGTCCCGTGACCTCTTCTCTGGGTCTGCCCCGTGACCTTTACCCTCTGTGTGTCTCGTGACCTCTCCCCTGCGTCTGTCCCGTGACCTCTCCTCTGAGTCTGTCTCGTGACCTTTACCCTCTGTCCCGTGACCTCTCCTGCCAAAGCAGCGAGCCTTTGACACTCCGCGTGCACCTAGCCTGGCACAGCGCGCGTGGCGGACGCCACCACCACTTAGTGGTTGCTATTAGCGGTTGTGGTTGTTGTTGTTAGTGACAAATAGCATCCAGGGGACTCCAAACCGCAGCGCAAGTGGTAAGCTCAGTGGTAGTCAGTAGTCAGACTCAACTAACCACGTGTCAACCTCATAGGCCGCACGCAGGGCAAAGCAACGTCCTCCACCATCACTACCACCATCATGAGGACGTCCTCAAGGTGAAGAACCAGCGAGCTGGTCCAACCCATCGGCTCTCTCAACGTTGCCCCGACGTTCGCTCGTTGGCGAGGAGGGGGCCCCGAGGGTCCGAGGCCCCGCGATGGAGTGGCAGCAGCCGCTGGCTCTGCTGGTGACGGACGAGCACAGCGGCGCCATGCGCCTCGTGGAGAAGACGGCCGCCCTCGTGGCCCGCGACGAGAAGCCGGCGGTGGTGGTGGCCATCGCCGGGCGCTACCGCACGGGGAAGTCCTTCCTCATGAACAAGCTGGCGGGCAAGCACAGCGGTACGTGCGGGTGGGGGTGGGGGGGGGGGTGGTGGGGTGGTGGTGAGGGTGGTGGTGGTGGTGGTGAGGGTGGTGGGGCTGATGGTGGTGGTGGTGATGAGGGTGGTGGTGGTGGTGAGGGTGGTGGTGGTGGTGAGGGTGGTGGTGATGAGGGTGGTGGGGCTGGGGGTGGTGGTGAGGGTGAGGGTGAGGGTGGTGGTGGTGATGAGGGTGGTGGTGGTGGTAGTGAGGGTGGTGGTGGTGATGAGGGTGGTGGTGGTGGTGGTCCTGGTGGTGGTGGTACTCCTGGTGGTGGTGGTGGTGAGGGTGGTGGTGGTGATGAGGGTGGTGGTGGTGGTGGGGTTGAGTGGTGGGGCTGGTAGAGCTGGGGCTGGTAGAGCTGGTGGTGGTGAGGGTGTTGGTGGTGGTGGTGCTGGTGGTAGTGGTGAAGGTGGTGGTGGTAGTGGTGAGGTTGGTGGTGGTGGTGGTAGTGGTGAGGTTGGTGGTGGTGCTGGTGGTGGTGAGGGTGGTGGAGCTGGTGGTGGTGCTGGTGGTGGTGGTGGTGAAGGTGGTGGGGTTGAGTGTTGGGGCTGGTGGTGATGCTGAGGGTGGTGGGGCTGAGTGGTGGTGGTGGTATTTGGTGTCTGTATGTGTGTATGTCGAACTTCTTTCGCAAGGTACGTAGCCAACCGCGCTAATCGGAGGTGCAGGGAAGGACAACAACACTAAACACAACAACAACAACCAGCAGCAGCGGTGGTGGTGGTGGTGGAGCGAGTGGCAGATTCACCCGGCTGGTTCTGTGTGTGTGTGTAGGTGTGTGTGTAGGGGTGTGTATGTGTGTGTAGGGGTGTGTGGGACCAGTGTGTGCGTGCCACTAAGAGGTGGGGCCTTACCATCAGCCCCACCAAAACTAAGCACCTGCCTGGGCATTTTGTACCATCGGACACTCCACTCCCACAACTCCCAATCGGTGATGGGGCAGTAGTGGAGAGATAATCGCCATATGGTCACGTGATATCGTATCGTGGTGATGAACGATATCGCGATAATCGCCATATCGTGAAGTGCGATATCGTATCGTGGTAATTAACGATATCGCGATAATCGCCATATCGTGAAGTGCGATATCGTATCGTGGTGATGAGCGATATCGCGATACTGACCTGGAGTGTTTCTTGCTGCTCGCTGTTGCTCTGCCATCTCGCGGCTTGGCATTTGAGGAATGTTTTGTTTGTGATTCATTGAAGGTCAGGGGATTGTGTGTACGTGTGTGTGTGTACGTGTGTGTGTGTGTGTACGTGTGTGTGTGTACGTGTGTGTGTGTGTACATGGGGAGCGGTAGTGTCGTGGTGAGCGCTACGCTGCGCTACGAACCCAACGACCCGAGTTAGATTCCCACTCACGGCCAACACCGGTGACGATTATCTGAACCGGTCGGTGGCCTGTCCTAGGTCGACTCAGCCTCAAATTAGTACCTGGTGCGGTGTGTAGTAAACATCGTCACTGGGGAGACAAAGGCGGCCGGGCGTGGTGTTAGCCACCCACCCCCTCGTGTGCCGTTCCGGCCTTCATTAATGCTCGCTAACAGCACTAGCCCCAACAGTCTGTTAAGGCTACACGAGCGATCTTTGTCTTTGGTGAGCATTGGGGAGACAAAGGCGGTCGGGCGTTATGCTGGTTATGCCCTCCTCGTGTGTCACGGTGCTGGCCTATCCAATAGGAGCTGCTCCTCGCTAACGGTACAAGGACCATGCACACAGACACACAGGCGTGACGTCACATTGCCTGTGGACTGGCCTACACCGCGCACACCACACACAGCGATGGGCTTCCTCTGTTCACGGGGGTTCAACGAGTCAATCGAATCACTCGACACTCTGGTAACGAACACCGGTTGAAGCGAAGATGTCCCACGGCCGGCCGAACACTCAAGAACGCCTACTTCTTGTGGCGAGCTGATTTGTAGAAACAAAAGGAAGGAGCAGCAATGGGCTCTCCTTTGTCTCCTGTGATGGCGAATTTGTACGCGGAAGATTTTGAAGCAAAAGCAATAGCTTCAGGCACACTAAACCCCATCTGCTTGGTTTAGATGTGTGGATGACACATTCATCATAGAGGTTTTTGTGGGTTTAATCGCCTAAATATATCAATGTTGTGTCGTTAAACCCGCCACCACCCGACACAGCCAACTAGGAAGGTTTTTCACGTAAACACAACATTTACAATCTGAGTGCGACGTTTCGCCAGTAATTATAACTAGCTTCATCAGGCCTTACTAAGTGGCTGTGTCGGGTGGTGGCGGGTTTAACGACACATTTATATATTTACGCGATTTAACCCAAAAAAACCTCTATTATGGATGATATTGGTCGCGAAAGCCTTCGTGTTAAGGATGACACATTGGTGGTCTGGCCACACGGCAAAGATACACGTAAAGAATTTCTAAATCATCTCAACTCGAAAAACCCATCCATCCGGTTCACCTTGGAAGTTGAAGTTGACAGAAATCTCATATTTCTGGATATTCTGCTCGGGCGCGGTCGAAACGGTGAAAAAACACCGACAGCGTCTGTGTGTGACCCACCAACCCGCGGAAGAGGGGAGTGTCCCGTCTGTGTGTGACCCACCAACCCGCGGAAGAGAGGAGTGTCCCGTCTGTGTGTGACCCACCAACCCGCGGAAGAGGGGAGTGTCCCGTCTGTGTGTGACCCACCAACCCCTCGGCTGCCCGCCGCGTGTTGTTGTCACGTTGTGACCCCGTGCCCCTGTTGGACATCTGTGGTAAAGAGCTTTACAGCTCATCGGATTCCTCCCGCAGTCTCAATATTCTCATACCGCTGCCTTCCCACTCATCGTCTGTGGCTCATCCGAGTCGCTCTCTCTCTCGGAGTCGTCCTCTCTGAGTCGTCCTCTCTCTCTGAGTCGTCCTCTCTCTCTGAGTCGTCCTCTCTCTCTCTGAGTCGTCCTCTCTCTCTCTGAGTCATCCTCTCTCTCTCTCTGAGTCGTCCTCTCGCTCTCTCCCTGAGTCGTCCTCTCTCTCTGAGTCGTCCTCTCTCTCTGAGTCGTCCTCTCTCTCTGAGTCGTCCTCGCTCTCCCTGAGTCGTCCTCTCTGAGTGGTGTGCCGTCTCCCATTGCCCCCCCCCCCCCCCCCCCGCTGCAGGCTTCGAGCTGGGTAACACGGTGCAGTCCAAGACGAAGGGCATCTGGGTCTGGGTGTTGCCCCACCCGGCCGACAGCAAAAAGTCTCTCATCCTCTTGGACACCGAGGGCCTGGGGGATGTCGAGCAGGTGGGTGGGTGGGTGGGTCGTCAGTCTGTCAGTCGGTCTGTTTGTCGGTCTGTCTGTCGGTCTGTCGGTCTGTCTGTCTGTTGGTTAGTCTGTTAGTCAGGAAGTCTGTTGGTGCGTCGGTCTGTCGGTTAATCCGTTAGTCAGCCTGTCGGTTAGGCTGCCAGTCGGTAAGTCTACTGGTTAGTCCGTCAATCAGTCACTCCGTCAGTCCGTGCGTATCCTGGGCGTGACGATCGCGAAGGCTGCCGTCCAGTAAGGGGGGGCAGGTGAGCACAGAGCCTGTGGGGTCGCCACACAACGTGGGGGGCCTTGTGTGTCTGTGGCCGCGTGCTCCGTGCAGGCGAGCGGGAACCACGACACGTGGATCTTCGTGCTGGCCATGCTGCTCAGCTCCACGCTGGTCTACAACACCACGAGCACCCTGGACCGCGGAGGCCTCGAGCAGCTCCAGTACGTGGCCAGGAGATGTTGACTACCTCGCCTGCTACACCGGAGGTCGTGGGTTTGATCCCGACCCCAGGCGACTGCTGCTGCTGCTGTGTATTTGGAGTCTGCGTCTCTCTCTCTCTCCCCGTGGTCGCGTGGATTTTTCTTCGGGTCCTCCGGCTTTTCCCTCCACGTGCAAATGTGCACGCATCCCCTCCACACGTCTCAACCCCTCTCTGCCTCATCTCCCTTCTCTACCATCACCTCCTCTTCCTCTCCCGTCTCCATCACCTCATCTCCCGCCTCCTCCTCCTCTCCCGCTTCTCCGTCTCATCCGCCACCTCTCTCCCATCACCACCTCCTCCTCCGTCACCTCCCGTCTCACCTCCGTCTCCTCCGTCTCCTCCGTCTCCTCCGTCTCCTCCGTCTCCTCCTCCGTCACCTCCATCTCCTCCGTCTCCTCCGTCTCCTCCGTCTCCTCCTCCGTCACCTCCGTCTCCTCCGTCTCCTCCGTCACCTCCGTCTCCTCCGTCTCCACCGTCTCACCGTCTCACCGTCTCCTCCGTCTCCTCCGTCTCCTCCGTCACCTCCGTCTCCTCCGTCTCACCGTCACCTCCGTCTCCTCCGTCTCACCGTCTCCTCCATCACCTCCGTCTCCTCCGTCTCCTCCGTCTCACCGTCTCCTCCGTCTCACCGTCTCCTCCGTCTCCTCCGTCACCTCCGTCTCCTCCGTGTGCTCCCCGCAGCTTTGTGGCCAACATGTCGGAGCACGTGCAGATGCGCGCTCGCCCCCGCTCGTGGGACCCGGCCAACCGGGCGGACGCGGCCGACTGCCGCGCATTCTTCCCCGCGTTCGTGGTGTGCGTGCGCGACTTCATGCTGCGCCTGGAGCTGGACGGGCGGCGCTGCTCCTCCGACGACTACCTGGAGCACTGCCTCCAGCGCAAGGCCAAGGGGCTCAGCAAGGAGTGCCGCGAGCAGAACGCGCAGAGGGAGATGCTTCGCAACGTCTTCCAGGTGCGTGCGTGTGTGAGAGTGTGGGTGGGTGTGGGTGACTGTGTGAGTGGGTGTGTGAGTGTGTGTGGGTGAGTGGGTGTGTGTGAGTGTGTGGGTGAGTGGGTGTGTGTGGCTGTGTGAGTGTGTGTGGGTGTGTGTGGCTGTGTGGGTGTGTGGCTGTGTGGGTGTGTGTGTGAGTGTGTGTGGGTGTGTGTGGGTGTGTGTGGGTGTGTGTGAGTGTGTGGGTGTGTGAGTGTGAGTGTGTGAGTGGGAGCGGTAGTGTAGCGGTTAGCGCGACGCTGCGCTACGAACCCGGCCACCCGAGTTCGATTCCCGCTCACGGCTACCAACAGCAGAGACGATTTTCTGAACCGGGTCTGGGCCTCCCCTGGGAAGACTCAGCCTTAACTGAGTACCCGGCGTGGTGCGCATTCAAAATCGCCACTGGGGAGACAAAGGCGGCCGGGCGTGGCGCTGGCCACCCACCCCCACGTGCTCCGTGCCGGCCTTCATAGGCCCTGCTACTCGCTAACGGCACTCGCCCCGGCGGCTTGCGTGGGCGACACGGCGTGGGCTACACGGCGGGGGATCATCGCCTGCGTCTCTCTCGTCAGGAGCGGAAGTGCTTCGTGTTCCCCCTGCCGACCGATCCGGAGCGGATGGACTCCCTGGACCGCATGGAGCCACACGACCTCAAGCCGGGCTTCAGGGAGAGCATGGACCTCTTCTACAAGCACGTGGTGCATCACGCACGCGTCAAGCACCTGGAGGGGACCATCATCAACGGGCGCCGTGAGTGGCCGCACGGCTGATTCCACCACACCGCCACCCCACCACCTCCATACCACTCCACCTTCTCACCACTCCACCTCTTCACCACTCCACCTCCTCACTCCACCACCCCACCACTTCCTCACCACTCCACCTCCTCACCACTCCACCTCCTCACTCCACCACCACTCCACCACTTCCTCACCACTCCACCTCTTCACCACTCCACCTCCTCACTCCACCACCCCACCACTCCACCACTTCCTCACCACTCCACCTCTTCACCACTCCACCACCTCCTCACCACTCTACCTCCTCACCCAACCAACCCACCACCTCCCCACCAATCCTCGTTGCCTTTAAACCGCAATGGATCAATAAAATGAATTCTAATCAAAGCGCGAGCACAGCCCCAGCACGAACCACCCTCTCCTCCCCCTCCACCCCCGCGACTCGCTGACCCGCACCCTACTGGACATCGGTGGAAAAGAGCTTCGCGGATCTTCGGATTTCCTCCCCCGGTCTCAAAATATTCCGCTTGCACGCCACCCGCAGTGCTGGTGGAGCTGGCGCGTCGCTACGTGGACGCGCAGGCGCGCGGCGCCATCCCCTGCATCGAGCAGGCGGTGACCCAGGTGGCGCGCGCTGCCAACGAGCGCGCCACCAGCGAGGCGCTGGGCCTCTACCAGGGGCTGCAGTGCGAGTCGCGCGATGCCTTCCCCGTGCCCGCCGACGACTTGGCGGCGGCCCACGTCTACGCCTGGGACGCCGCGCTCACCCACTTCGCCTCGGTTGCCGTTCTGGACCGCGACCACGAGCAGGAGAGGACGCTCTCGGTGAGGGTCGGCGCACCGAGGGAGACCCCCCGCTCCCCCCGCTCCCCCCGCTCCCCCCGCTCCCCGCCACGTTGTGTTTACTCCGCCGCGGAAGCCGCTGACGTGAGGATCGTGGCGATGAGCGCGGCGGTGCTTTGGGTAGCGACGTGGGACGGGTCAAATTTCGATTTAAAGCTTTCGTGACTGCAGGAATTCATCTTCTTGGTTCTTTCGGTAAAGTCACGCAGAAAAGGAAATAATAAAATAATAAAAATAAAACATAATAAAATACAATTCTCACGACGTTTCGGCCACAACGCAAGCAGCCGTCCTCAGGTGAAGAACAGGGCTGTCGGTAAAGTCGCATCTGAAGACGCGACTTTACCGAAAGAACCAAAGAGAAAAAGTGGAATGGGTCGCCCATTCCGCTGGCGAGAAGGGGATCCGCTGCCGTGGCGGCCCGGTCGGCCGGCAGGTCACGGAGTAGGCGGCAGGGAAGGACCCGGGGATGAGGTGACGGAGGGGAAACGGGAGATGGAGCCCGGGAGCCTCCTGGTGGGGTCTGGAAGGGTGGCGTGGCCGGGGGTGGGGCGAGGCCGGGGGGTTAAAAGGGGGGCCGTTGAGGACTCGAGGTTGTTGTTGGAGTGTAACCTGCGGAGCTTCACGAGTCTCCTCCGTCGTCGTCTTCGTCACAGGAGCAACAGCAGCAGCGTTGCTGGTCAGGCAGCCCGTTGCTGTAGTGAAGTACATCACTACACTTGTGCCGGTGATGCTTGTGGTGGTTGATGGTCGTGGTGATGAACGTGGTGATGAACGTGGTGATGATTGTGGTGATGATCGTGGTGATGATCGTGGTGATGATCGTGGTGATGATGGTGGTGATGATCGTGGTGATGATCGTGATATAGCCACTCACCTTGATGATGATGATGGTGCCTCTACTGTCAGCGAGCGTGACGAGCGAGCAGAGCCTCTGTGATGACGACGACGACGACGATGACGACGATGACGACGATGACGACGACAACGACGACGATGACGACGATGACGACGACGATGATGATGATGACGACGATGACGACGACGACGACGACGATGATGATGTTGACGACGATGACGACGACGATGACGATGACGACGACGACATCGCCGAGGCTGCGTCTGACTGCGCCCGCCCCCCCCCCTGTCCCCGACCCGTCTCCGCGTCGCCCCCCGCTGCAGGCGAAAATGATGGCGGCCTACGAGGAGCTGGTGAAGCAGAACAAGGCGGCGTCCGTCTCGATGTCGCGCGCCTTGCTGGAGCTCCTGCACCAGCCAATCAAGGAGGAGATCGCCAAACGCTCGTTCCACACGGCCGGAGGATTCAAGATCTACGACCGGATGATGAAGGAGTTGCAGGAGGAGTTCCGAGCGTCGATAGGAAAAATGGGAGACATGGTGAGGGCCAATCGGCTTTACTAACCCAACAAATGTGACTATTTGTATTTTATTTTATCAGGTAAGGCACACAACTGAGCTTTGTATCACAAATAACAGCTCAACGAAGTGGGCTCATCATCATCATCGCGTGGACATGTATAGCAGCAGCCAAATACTGTAAACGCGTGGTGACGTTGATTCTAAATGTGGAGGGAAACAATCCACGCGACCAAGGGGAGAGAGAGATACACAGACTACAAATATACAGCAGCAGCAGCAGCAGGCGTCAGGGTCGGGATCGAACCCACGACCTCCTGCGTACCAGGCGAGGGAGTCAACATCTCCTAGGCACCGCGGCGCCCTGCACGGCACCGCCAGGCGTGGAGGGTGCTGAGTGCCGGCTGTCTCTACCAGGCGGCGCAGGTGCTGAGCGAGTTCCTGGCGAGCGTGGAGGACGAGGGTCGACTCATCATGCAGGTGGACGACAGCGTGAGCGAGCTGGAGAAGGAGAAGAAGGGTGAGTGGCTGGCCGCCACGTGTCACAAACACAATCTCGCTTTGGACCGCAGGAGGTGGAATCCGGTGAGCTCTGCAGCTCATTTGTCACGGATGTCCAGTCGGGGCACGGGGTCAGCGGTGTGTGTCGTGCCGTGTCGTGCCGTGTCGTGCCGTGCCGTGCCGTGGCGCTGCTGCCGTTGGCCCGGTGGCACCCGCGCCCGATGCCACTGTTGAGTTCTCTGTGCGTCTCTAAAACTAAAAACGAAACAACGTGTTATTTGACCAGGTTTGAGGCCCCGCTGGGCTATGTAGCGACCACCTGGCCATCACGAATGATAGCTCGACGTCGCAGCTCGTCGTCGTCGTCATCATCGTGTGGGAAGTTGCGGCAGCCAAATGCTCTAGACGCGTGACGGGATTCTAAATGTGGAGGGGAAAACCGGAGGAGCCGGAGGAAAATCCACGCGACCACCGGGAGAGAGAGACGCAAACTCCAAATACACAGCAGCAAGTGTCAGGGTCGGGATCAGAGGCTGCTCTGTGTGTGTGTGTCACTGCCTAGAGACCCCATCAGAGGCTGCTCTGTGTGTGTGTGTCACTGCCTAGAGACCCCATCAGAGGCAGCTCTGTGTGTGTGTCACTGCCTAGAGACCCCATCAGAGGCTGCTCTGTGTGTGTGTCACTGCCTAGAGACCCCATCAGAGGCTGCTCTGTGTGTGTGTGTCACTGCCTAGAGACCCCATCAGAGGCTGCTCTGTGTGTGTGTCACTGCCTAGAGACCCCATCAGAGGCTGCTCTGTGTGTGTGTCACTGCCTAGAGACCCCATCAGAGGCTGCTCTGTGTGTGTGTCACTGCCTAGAGACCCCGTCAGAGGCTGCTCTGTGTGTGTGTCACTGCCTAGAGACCCCATCAGAGGCTGCTCTGTGTGTGTGTCACTGCCTAGAGACCCCATCAGAGGCTGCTCTGTGTGTGTGTCACTGCCTAGAGACCCCATCAGAGGCTGCTCTGTGTGTGTGTCACTGCCTAGAGATCCCATCAGAGGCTGCTCTGTGTGTGTGTCACTGCCTAGAGGCCCCGTCAGAGGCTACTCTGTGTGTGTCACTGCCTAGAGACCCCGTCAGAGGCCGCTCTGTGTGTGTGTCACTGCCTAGAGACCCCATCAGAGGCCGCTCTGTGTGTGTGTCACTGCCTAGAGACCTCGTCAGAGGCTACTCTGTGTGTGTCACTGCCTAGAGACCCCATCAGAGGCTGCTCTGTGTGTGTGTCACTGCCTAGAGACCTCGTCAGAGGCTACTCTGTGTGTGTCACTGCCTAGAGACCCCATCAGAGGCCGCTCTGTGTGTGTGTCACTGCCTAGAGACCCCATCAGAGGCCGCTCTGTGTGTGTGTCACTGCCTAGAGACCTCGTCAGAGGCTGCTCTGTGTGTGTGTCACTGCCTAGAGACCCCGTCAGAGGCCGCTCTGTCTCTCTGCGAGTCTGTCGCTGCTGTCGCCGTGGTTGCCGGTGTTTATTTCAGAGCTGGAGAAGGTGCGGGCCCGGCAGGCCGACGAGGAGGCCCGCACGAGGAAGCAGAGCGAGGAGCTGCAGAGGACCATCAACCTGCTGCAAGAGCAGATGCGGGTACACGCCCTGAGACTCGTGAGAGTCGGAGAGTGTAGTAGTGTAGTGTGCAGTGCAGTGTGTAGTGTAGTAGTGTAGTGTATAGTAGTGTAGTGTAGGGTGCAGTGTGTAGTGTAGTAGTGTAGTGTATAGTAGTGTAGTGTGCAGTGCAGTGTGTAGTGTAGTAGTGTAGTGTATAGTAGTGTAGTGTAGGGTGCAGTGTGTAGTGTAGTGTGTAGTAGTGTAGTGTATAGTAGTGTAGTGTGCAGTGCAGTGTGTAGTGTAGTGTATAGTGTAGGGTGTAGTGTGTAGTGTAGTGTGTAGTGCAGTGTGTAGTGTAGTGTGTAGTGTAGTGTATAGTGTATAGTAGTGTAGTGTATAGTGTAGTAGTGTAGTGTGTAGTGCAGTGTGTAGTGTAGTGTATAGTAGTGTAGTGTATAGTGTAGTAGTGTAGTGTAGTGTGTAGTGTAGTGTGTAGTGCAGTGTGTAGTGTAGTGTATAGTGTAGTGAGGGTGTAGTGTGTAGTGTATAGTGTATAGTAGTGTAATGTATAGTGTAGTAGTGTAGTGTATAGTAGTGTAGTGTAGGGTGCAGTGTAGGGTGTAGTGTAGTGTGCAGTGTAGGGTGCAGTATATAGTAGTGTAGTGTATAGTAGTGTAGTGTATAGTAGTGTAGTGTATAGTAGTGTAGTGTATAGTGTAGTGTATAGTAGTGTCGTGTATAGTAGTGTCGTGTATAGTGTAGTGTATAGTAGTGTAGTGTATAGTAGTGTAGTGTATAGTAGTGTAGTGTATAGTAGTGTAGTGTATAGTAGTGTAGTGTATAGTGGTGTAGTGTATAGTGGTGTAGTGTATAGTGTAGTGTATAGTGTAGTGTATAGTAGTGTAGTGTATAGTAGTGTAGTGTATAGTAGTGTAGTGTATAGTAGTGTAGTGTAGTGTATAGTGTAGTGTATAGTAGTGTAGTGTAGTAGTGTAGTGTATAGTAGTGTAGTGTGCAGTGCAGTGTAGGGTGTAGTGTATAGTGTAGTGTAGGGTGTAGTGTGTAGTGTAGTGTATAGTGTAGTGTAGGGTGTAGTGTGTAGTGTAGGGTGCAGTGCAGTGTAGGTGCAGTATATAGTAGTGTAGTGTATAGTAGTGTAGTGTATAGTGGTGTAGTGTATAGTAGTGTAGTGTATACTGTAGTGTATAGTAGTGTAGTGTATAGTTTAGTGTATAGTGGTGTAGTGTATAGTAGTGTAGTGTATAGTGTATAGTAGTGTAGTATATAGTAGTGTAGTGTATAGTAGTGTAGTGTATAATAGTGTATAGTGGTGTAGTGTATAGTAGTGTAGTGTATAGTAATGTATAGTGGTATAGTGTATAGTAGTATAGTGGTGTAGTGTATAGTGGTGTAGTGTATAGTAGTGTATAGTGGTGTAGTGTATAGTAGTGTAGTGTATAGTAGTATAGTGGTGTAGTGTATAGTGGTGTAGTGTATAGTAGTGTAGTGTATAGTAGTGTATAGTGGTGTAGTGTATAGTAGTGTAGTGTATAGTAGTGTAGTGTATAGTTTAGTGTATAGTGGTGTAGTGTATAGTGGTGTAGTGTATAGTAGTGTAGTGTGTAGAAGTGTATGGTAGTTTCTTCCACACCGTACGTAGCCATCCGTGCTAATTGGAGGTGCGATTGGCTTAGCCAATCCGCGTACATCAGGGGGCCCATGCCCACAGCAGCGTTCAAGAGCCACGCAGCCAGCGCCGCTGAGAAGCCGGGTTTGCGCCCAGAGTCTGGAAGTCTCTCAGTTTGAGGTTAGGGGGAACGCAGAACCACATTTACCGTGTTGGGTTTTTGGTTTGGTGCAGTCTATAAAAAAACGATTTAAACTCTTTTTATTGTACCAGGTGTAAGGCCCCACTGAGCTGTGTAGCTCTTTTTCAGAAGCGACCACGTGGACAAAAAAAAGACTCTAAACACGGCGGCGAGATTCTAAATGTGGAGGGAAAAACTGGAGGAGCCGGGGAAAAATCCACGCGACCAAGGGGAGAAGAACACGCAAACTTCAAATGTACAGCAGCAGGCGTCAGGGATCGACCCTCGCCTGATACGCAGGAGGTCGTGGGTTCGATCCCGACCCTGACGTCTGCTGTATATTTGGAGTCTGTGTGTCTCTCTCTCCCTCTCTCTCCGTGGTCACGTGGATTTTTTCCCTCCACATTTAGAATCAGCATCGCAACGCGTTTAGAGTATTTGGCTGCTGCTATACATGTCCACGCAAAGATGACGATGATGATAAGCCCACTTCGTTGAGCTGTCATTTGTGATAGCCAGCTCGCTTCTAGTAAGGCGCTACACAGCTCATTTTGGCCTTACCTGGTATAATAAAATAATAAATAGTTCATCGCGTGGCTGAACCTTTGACCTTTGACTTCTCCAACGCAGCTCAACGGGGAGTCATTCGACGCCCGGATCCGACACATGGAAGAGATGACGGAGATGAAGCTGCAGGAGCTGAAGAGGCAACACCAGGAGGAGATGGAGCGTTCCAGGGCGGCCTATCAGAGCAGCAGCGGCGGGGACAGCTGGTGTTCCGTCATGTGACGCCCGCCGACGCACGGCACGATGCCTGCGCAGTGCTGACGACGTCGGCCCGACGGTCACTCAACGCTGGGACAACCGTTGACCCGACCGCATGTCAATGTCGGCCCAACGTTGGGCCAACGTCGGCCCAGCGTTGGCATGCCCTACCGAATGCCGACGTCGGCCCGACCGCTGGCCAACGTTGGGACAATGCTGGCATGCGGTCGGGCTCAATGTTGACTCAATACTGTGCACTCGGTGGGGCCAACAGCGGCTCAACGTTGGGCCGACGTTGGCACGCGGTAGGGCCAACGTTGACTACATTGACTCGATGTTGGGCTGACGTTGCCACGCCGTTGGGCCAACGTTGACTCGACGTTGGGTCGACGTTGGCACGTTGTTGGGCCAACGTTGACTCGACGTTGGGCCGACGTTGGGCCGACGTTGGCACGCTGTTGGGCCAACGTTGACTCGACGTTGGGCCGACGTTGACTCGATGTTGAGTCAACGTTGACTCGATGTTGGGTCGACGTTGCCACGCCGTTGGGCCAACGTTGACTCGATGTTGATTCAACGTTGACTCGTTGTTGAGTCAACGTTGGCACGCCGTTGGGCCAACGTTGACTCGACGTTGGGTCGACGTTGGCTCGATGTTGAGTCAACGTTGACTCGACGTTGGGTCGACGTTGGCACGCCGTCGGGCCAACGCTCCGGGCAGTGGGAGCGGCGGAGCTGCCGTGACCCGGCGGCAATGCCGTGACCCGCTCGTACGGTACGAGGCGCCACGATCGTCGTTGACAACCGTGCGGTGTGATTTGTTTACATCGCGGATTGTCGTCCTTCAGTTGTTCATTTGGCGAAATTAATGTTTCGTGATGTCCTGGCATCTATCATTTGAGTGAAATAACAGCGGACTCTGAGCTCGCTTGTGCCCCACTCTCAAGGTCACACAATGTTCACCAACCGCATGAGCGGACCACCGAGACACCTTGCCCATGCAACCGCCCACCTGCCCATTCCATATTACAATACAATACAATTCCTCAGGTGGAGAACAGGTCTGTCTGTCGACAGACCTGTTCTCCACCTGAGGACGGCTACTTGCGTTGTGGCCGAAAAGTCGTGAGAATTATTTTATTATGTTTTATTTTTATTATTTTATTATTTCCATTCTACGTGACTTTACCGAAAGAACCAAGAAGATGAATACAATACAATACAACAATACAATACAACAAATACAACAATTCAATACAACAATAAAAAATACAACTAAACAACAATAAAATACAATACAACAATACAATAAACAAATACAACAATTCAACTAAACAACAATAAAATACAACAATTCAACACAACACTACAATACAACAATTCAACTAAACAACAATACAACACAACAATTCAACACAACACTACAATACAACAATTCAACACAACACAACAACACAACACAACAATTCAACACAACACTACAATACAACACAACAATACAACACAACACAACAATTCAACACAACACAACAACACAACAATTCAACACAACACTACAACACAACACAACAATTCAACACAACACAACAATACAACACAACAACACAACACAACAATTCAACACAACACTACAATACAACACAACAATTCAACACAACACAACAATACAACACAACACAACAATACAACACAACACAACAACACAACACTACAATACAACACAACACAACAATACAACACAACACAACACTACAATACAACAATACAATACAACACAACACTACAATACAACACAACAATACAACACAACAATACAACAATACAATACAACAATACAACACAACAAAACACGATACGAGTGCAAAATGGAGACAATGGTGAGCAAGTCAAGCAACATAAACAATTAACTCCATTGGAATCTCATTTGCCAGTAAAATATATAATTGGTTTTTTACCCTTCTATCTGGCAACAAAACTGACACCTCTTTTACAAGGAGTCAAGTCTGCATAGACCACAATACCTGCAGTCATAATGCAAACAAAAAACATAACTCTGATAATGTATGCACTGTCCAATTATCATATTTTTTACTGGCAAATGAGGGTCCAATGGTGTAAATGCTTAACCCGAGCTCTCATACTCTGATGGTGCATTGTCTTTGAGTTGTGCGCCTTTTGGCGTCATCTGGTCCAACCCATGTGAGACTAGGCTCTAAGCAAAGCTGTCTTGGGTGTGGACCAATCAACTTCAAGGACAGTGCATACATTATCAGAGTTATGTTTTTTATTTGCATTATGACTGCAGGTATTGTGGTTTATGCAAACATGACTCCTTGTTAAAAAAGGTGTCAGTTTTGTTGCCAGATAAAAGGGTAAAACCCCAATTATCAAACAATAAATTTGGTAATAGGTTTTTCCCCTTTTTTTTCTGGCTCTATGGGTCTCTATGGACAGCGCCAATGGCGACTTAACAAAGATGGGACGATGACGTATGCGGCATCCCCTTGAGAGTCTGAACTCGCTGCAAAGACTGCCGGTCGGGCCAATGCTCTTGCCTACGAAGCCTTGTACAGCATCCTGTGTATATGTAGCGGTATCTGTGGGTTATAATGTCCATAATACAGGGGGGGAGGGGAGTTTGGGTTAGATCGCGTAAATAAATGTGTCGTTAAACCCGCCACCACCCGACACGGACAACTAGTCAGGGTTGTCACGTAAACACAACGTGCCAATTCGTCATGAGGACAGCACTAGTGTGCAGTGTAGTAGTGTATAGTGTAGTATACTAGTACAGCACTAGTGTATAGTGTAGTATACTAGTACAGCACTAGTGTATAGTGTAGTGTATAGTGTAGTATACTAGTACAGCACTAGTGTATAGTGTAGTGTATAGTGTAGTATACTAGTACAGCACTAGTGTATAGTGTAGTATACTAGTACAGTACTAGTGTATAGTGTAGTGTATAGTGTAGTACACTAGTACAGCACTAGTGTATAGTGTAGTGTATAGTGTAGTATACTGGTACAGCACACCGGTTGTGTGTTGGAGAGCCAAGCCACAACATTTACAATCTGAGTACGACGTTTCGCCAGTAATTACAACTAGCATCATCAGGCGGACAGCCGTTTATATTTACGCGATCGAACCCAAAGGAAACCCATATTATGGATGACTTCAAATATAAAATTATGGATGATATTAGTCGCGAAAGCCTACTGCGTGTTAAACTGGGTTACAATGTATTGGGGTTGTCCCATTATCATGTTGAAGTGCCTGACTGCGTGGATTAAACTGCGTGGATTAAACTGTGTCTGAGGATGTCGTGTGTTGCTGATGATGCTGCTGCTGCTGTTCGTGGTTGAATGAGCGAGCCTTGAGTCTGGCTCCCTTACACCACGTGGCCCTCTCATCGACAGCGCTCTACAGATCAGAACTTGTTTTTGTATTTTGGAGGAATCCGATGAGCTATGAAGCGCTTTCTCACAGCTGTCCAGGAGGGGACACGCGGCGAGGACGTGACCACCAACAAACGCGATAGGAGCGCAAAGCATCGGGAGGGTAAAAATCTGATCACTTTAAACATCCCACCGAGCAAGAAGCTTCTGTCTCAGCAGCGAGGCCGCCATCGCGAACGAGAGCTCGGAGACGTGGCCCGTCGTGCGGGGAAATAAAGAAGCAGCAGCAGCCAAACACGTGGGGTCAACGTTAGGTCAACGTCGTTGTCGAGTCGTGTGCGGAAACAACGCAAGGTCGCTCAGCTTCGCTGTTCAAGCTGCGGTCGGTCTGCAGAGGGCGATGAAGAGGCGTTTAAGTCAAGAGTTGAGGGCCTCTCTTCCCCCTAGATCGACTCGGCCACAAACGGTCACGTGGTGTGTGTGTGTTGTAGGGAGCGGTGGTGCATTGGTTGGCTCGCTACGCTACGGACCCGGTCGACCCGAGTTCGATTCCCGCTCACGGCCACAAACACCGGTGACGATTATCGGAACCGGTCCTGGGCATCCCCTTGGTCGACTCGGCCTTAAATGGGCGCGTGTTGCGTTATGAAGATCAGCACTGGGGAGACAAAGGCGGCCGGGCGTGGTGCTGGCCACCCACCCCCTCGTGTGCCGTGCCGGCCTTCACAGGTGCTCGCCAACAGCACTTGCCCCTGCAGTCTGTTAAGGCTACACGGGGGATCTCTGTTTACACGCATGCGCGTGTCTCTACACTGCACATGTGTATGTGTGTTTACGTGTGCGCATATATATTGCAGAGATGTGTGCGTGTGTGGGGAGCGGTGGCGCAGCAGTTAGCGCTACACTGCGCTACGAACTCGGCATCCGAGTTTGATTCTCGCTCACGGCCACCACCAGCACTAGTGGTCCTGGGCACCCCCTAGGCCGACTCGGCCTTAAATGCGTACCCGGAGCGGTGCGGAGTAAACATCGCCACCGGGGAGACAAAGGCGGTCGGGCGTGGTGGTGATGGCCACCTACCCCCCGTGTGCCGTCTTGGCTATTATAGAGGCGCTTGCCCCAGCAGAGCGTGTCCGTGGTAGGTTCTCGCTAACAACCCTGGCCACAGTGTCCTCAGATTGAATTGCTGAAGACATCATTTCGTTTCAAGATGCACCGAAGCTATTGGTTGGACAAATTATTAGCCACCGATTAACAAGTGCTCGTTTACAAGTACGGCTCTCGCTCATTAAGATTTGGGGGGGGGGGGGGACGCAATGTTGTCGAGGTACCGCTGTTTGATGGTCGTACCGGCAACTCGCACAGCACGTGGAGCGAAACATCGGACATGCAAACACACGGTGCAACCCGAGAAGACATCGAGTGCGTAAATCCTGCAAAGTCCACGCAGTTTCGAAACGTCCCTACTCTGTTAACTGTAAGCAATATAACGGTTCCACTGACAGATTACAGCCACAGTAAGTTTCTGTAGTCAGTTTACTTGTGGATGTATTCCTCCTCCGTGGATTCATGACGGCAGAATAACGATGCAATGGCATCTTCAGGAGCTCTTCCAGAGGAAGCGACAAATGAACTCAACTTGGGAGGAAAACCCCCAGTTCGGTTTCTTTATTGTGCAGATATTAGTTCACAAACAACCCCTTTGAATTGTTTTCACAGAGTGGGGCTTTCAAAGCGCACACGCCACAAATGATTTCGATGGCCGAAGACAA